AATCCCAGGTAGGATCACTCCATCCTGCCCGTAGGATGAGGTGTTGATATTGAGTTACAGGGGTGACTAAAAGGCAAGACGGCCCAGATGGTGAGGCAGATGATATCCCATGTAGGTCCACCTATCTTTTCCTTCAAGATGAGATGCTTATGTCATATTGCAGCGGTAGCGAGAAGGCAGGACGGCCCAGATGGAGAAGCAGATGATATTCCATGTAGGTTCACCCCCTCCTCTCCGGATAGGACGCTGATATTACATCACAGCCGTTGCCAAGAGGCAAGATGGGGAGGCGGACGGTATCCCTGACCCTACAAAGAGGGACGATGAAGATGACATTCCCGGTCCTACAAGGAAAAGGCAAGATGGAGAGGCGGATGGCATTCCTGGTGAGACGAGTCACCCATCCTTTTATCTCCTTTACTGAAATATTTTCAGATCCCACCAGAAAGAGGGACAACGGTAAGACAGTTAACCGGTCTTTAGCTATTAGCCTACTAAACTTATCCATTAGGCCTCTGGAAGAACTGATTCTGAACACGTATGAAAGAATACGACTACCACGAGGTTTGTCGTAGCTGTATCCCTCATCGATCTTGTATACTAACGTCACATGTCAGATTTCAAGGTGACCTCGCTGGCTCAAGCCCCCAAATCCCCTTAAACAAACATCACCTTTCCGTATGGTTGCATTCCAACGTAGCCGAGCTAAATGGACATCTGTGATAGTCCCAAAAGCCAGTCCTTACCCTATAACCGCGTCAACAACCCGTAGATGTCTCCACAAAATGGGGATTTCCGTTTCCGGTTGACTGCTTCCTTTACCCAACCTATGAATACACCGCCGCTCGTTCATTTATCGTTTCTTATTCTACTCTGCTGATCTTGATAATAATTTGTTGATTTATCTCTCAACGTTGTAAATCCCGAACTTCAATCTGCTCAAATCTTGCGAACAACTTGATAGGATATGAGTCCTGAGAACAAACCTACGAACCAGCCCAGATCTGTGACATGTTTTACAGTGTCATTTGAATAAATTGTGAGATAGGCTTGAGCAGGCTTTTGCTTCGGGTATTTATTCGACTCGACTTCTCAGTCTTGTCACCCGCCACAATACCTCACAAGTCAAAAGCATCCCTCTGCTCAACTCATCCCTTCCCGTGTTGATACAAGTATCAAGCTGTCTAATTGGACTTGAGACAGGGATGCCTGCGCCGACCACTCCATGGACCTCTAACAAATCTGGGAAGGGCCACCTCCTGTCTGACCGCATCCCTAATCAACAACGAATCCCAAGTCCCAATCCAGGAGGTAAAGGAAAGGGACCAAGTGCACAGTCCTCCAAACCCCAATCACCCGAAGTCACCCGTCTACAACAACTCATCTCCAAGATCCAGAAGTCCTTAACGGACAAGCAAAAAGGCAAAGGGCCAGTCGAGGGCTGCTTTTGTCTCGCTCGCAATCACAAATTGTCTCCACATGTGTCTATGTGCCGATCATGCGGACTTATTTTGTGCGAGTTAAATCAGCCTTATGACCCTTGCCCATTTGGAGCGTGCAACCAGCCCTTGTTGAACACTCAGTCCGGTACGGCACTCATTGATTCATTAAACGAGCAAGTAGCAAAAACAATCATTGAGGAAGAAGGGGCGAAGCGTAGACATGAGGACGAAGAACGAAGAGCAGCAGGAGCGTTCCCTCAACTGGCCCCGAGCTCAGCTGCCTCACATTCCAAACAGCCCAACAAGCCTGTGCAGCCTTCTGGTCCGCATAAAGTGCTCTCACTGACCCAGAAGGGAGCGATACTGACCGTTCGCAAATCGACCCCTTCTCCATCCAACAAACCAAAGGAGATCAAGGACATCCCTCCTCCAATAGTTCGCGTGCCAGCTCCAAAAGATGGACCAGACTATGCACCGCCTAAAAGTAATGCCGGTTCATGGGAGAATTTGAGGACAGAGCGCATCATTTATATACCTCCACCAAAGCCAGCATCTACTCAACCACAAGGAGGCAAGAACACGAAAAAATCTCGTCAGAAAAACACCCAGCCAGCACAGTCAGAGACTTGATGCATTCAAATGCGGTTCTCGACAACAGGATAACATCTAGGCC